TGGAGGAGGTGGAGTTGTTGCAACGGCCGCTGTTGTCGATGTTGGATCAGCTTGTTGCTGTCCAGTTGGGAGCTCCGCGATGAAAGAAGTTGCATCGGCAAGCTGCCTCTCTTCTAATTGAACTGGGTGCAGAGGCCCAAGTGGAAGACCTGCTGCTGCAGCTGCTGCCGCTATCGTAGCGGCTTTAAGAAGCCACATGTTGGTGCGTGAGATGATTGAGGGCCTAGTATGCCTCTCAAGGGTTCTCTCAGATGCGATGAGAATGAGTTTTAAGCCATGCCAGCATGTGGTATCGTGGGAGAGTATGTCAGATGCCTTGATGGCCGATCTCGAAAAGGTATTAAGAATCAAAAGAACGCTAGCACATGGAGAGTAAAAGACAGACTTATCACCTTACACCACCTCAAGATATGAGGTTGACAACTGCCTGTTGAAGGGGAGGGGCGGAGGCTTAAACAGAGCAAGGATTCGGTGCAACCCAGGCCCCGGTCGGAAAAGTCGGCTGGGAACATTGACGACTTGATTACCCTGAAAGGTGGTGTGCGGTCCTTCCAAGGAGGCTTGCTGTCTGGTCATCCCGGAAACAGAACATGGCCGTGTCAAGATCCTCTTCGTGGCGTGCGTCACTCGGATCTGTGTGCAAGTTGATAGAGTTAGAGAAGGGGTTTCAGCGACAGGGTCTGCCCGCCACACGCCCGCGCGGATACATGCACCATCCCTTTTTTCCACTACACCCGCTATGATTTTTCTTATAGTCCGATCTTGAACTTTGGGCGGTGGGTTGAAAAGACGACGAGCATACCCCCTCAATTGAGCCACTTCCCATGGGATGCGACCTATCACGCCCCAGACGGTCAAAGGGTTTTGACGTTCTGAGGCAGCTTCGTGACAGCCTGTGGAAGATGAGATGACCGTCCGACGTACCCGGTCTCCTTGCGCTATCATCTTTAATCGGAATGGGCGAAATATGGCACCCAATGAAACATCCACAGCGTGGGAAAATGACTGGGAGGAAGGCCGGTAGGAAGCCGGTAAGCAGCCGGCACATAGTATTTTGAGTGAGGCGTACATGGACCGTAAGGCCGATTCACCGACGCTGCATACCACGTACCAGCCGCAACACACCACAACTGAATCGCGGGTTGAATTCATCGTCCGAAAAAAGTAAGCTGGTAGAAGGATCGCAAGGCTCGGATTGTGTGTGCCTGATGTGTGGCCGGTCAGCCGTAGTGCTGCCGCCAATCACAACGGATACGGATACGGGGTTCGTCTCTTGGATTCCGGGATTCCATAGGGAAAGTATACCGACCACCCTCAACGTAAACCATCTCGTAGGCTTGAAGCTGTATAGTCACTCCATGCAACCACCATTCGCGGCAGAGAGTCGGCAGAGGGTCCCGAAAGAAGGATGCTAGGGAGCTTCAGGCAACTGACCACGACTTGAAGCCATTGATCGTCGCGACTCTCTTACTTGGGAATATTTGTTAATGCTTATCTAGGTTCAGATGGCAAAACACGGTATGTGAGTATGGAGGCACCATTGTCATTTCTAAGCATTTCATGATGCGTAACAAGCCTTTAGTCCTCGACATTGCATGGCATTAGACCCGATATGTCTACATGTACAAAGCGATGGTGCCAGTATCGAGATCGGGCCCTGACGCCGCTATCATCACTGACAGTGGAGTTGAGCCCTGTGGCCCTACAGGAAGGCCGATGTCAACTAGTCATCTAATATCACCTTAGCCAGGACTTCCCCGGGTTCTAAAGCCCACATATTTGAGATTATGAGTCTCTCCTCGATCGATGTTTGTCTGAAGCGGCTCAAATGGGTAGTGGAGGGTGACATGTGAGCAACAAAGGCACGCAATAAGCGGCACGCTCTCCTATTGGCCGAATGGCTTTGTGTTCGACACCCCGCATGCGTTTCTACATTAAGAACAGCATATGCTTGCTATCACCCCACCTATATCGACTGCTATTTATACAAAAAATATACTCTATTAGTGCTGACGGGAGCATTTTAAGCTTGATGATGCCCTTGTCCTTAAAGTGCTTGGGGCGATGCATGCCATCTCATTCAGCCGCGATCCTTCAGAACAGTATAAAGGATTGGGACTCCCGAATTGCTGACGGGCTGGGGCTTCGGTCACCGACAGAATCTCACAGCTGAAAGAGGCATCACCGGTGAGCACATGCGAGCTCTTGCAAAATAGGAAATCCGTACGTCATGTCGCAATAGACGTTGGAAGAGTATAGGATCTCAATCGGGCAGCGCAGTTTGGCGTTCCCCTTTGATTGCGTTCCTCTCTACAGTAGTGGCGTTGAAGCAATGCGGCGCCCGTCATTATTGGGATGCATAGCATGAGCTGTATCTAGAAGTAATCAGTTTGATGACATACAGAAGCCTCAGCATGTAGGTATGACGGTTGACCAGCCTTATCCTTTCAAATGCAGCTTGCAATGGCTAGATCGTGGCGAATACCTCGCCTCTCGATAAAGAGCTCTGTTCTGGCTGATAGTATGAAAAGGTAGTCAAGATTGCGATGATCAAATATGGGTGTAAGATCCGAGTGATAGCCTCATGATGGAAGTTTATTCATTTCGAATTGGCACGGTCTCGGGGGGCGGACATTGCAAAATCGCAACGTCCGGTCTGCACTGACAGCCGGTAGGCTTGCCAGACGTCAGCTGTTCTTTGACGAGAGTGCGCCAAACCTAGACCTGGACGCACTCTACTAGAAGCATTCTCTGCAGCAACTTCTGATTGCCAAGTAATTTCGAATCGATTGAGTATCGCTCTTCTCGACAAAGCATGTCAATTTCAGCTGTAGACACCTCTTGGAGCCTCAAATGAAACTACGAGCGGTGGTATAAGCCGATTGGCCAACTCGCGAAGTTGCCTTTGAACAAAGGTTAGTTCGTTTCACCAAACAAAAGGTGTCTTGGTAATCCAACATTAGTTAGTCCTCTCCAGAAGAGAAAACTAATTTGCTTAACCTCCAATCTTCAATCAATCAATTAGGTGTGATCATAACGCCACCGTGACCTAGGTCTTCTGGTCTATCCCGTCTGTGCTGCCTTCGGGAGGCTGAGGCATTGCGGTACCTGACAGCAAACGTTGAAAAGTTCTACTACCAGTTTACTCAACGAACGGATTCGCCTCCAACCGCCTTCCAAAACCTACTCACAGACATTCGCATAATCTTACCTAGTATCGCTTCAGGGGGAACTGAGCCATCGAGACCAAGGTGCAAGAAATTGACTTTCCGCGTCTGAATTTCCCAGAAGTCCCAAGTGGGCCAGAACTTTGGCCATTCTCGGCCCGGCTTCTTACTTTGCGCTCACTTGTCATCGTCTTATGTTCTCCGCTTCACCATGAACATTGGTTCTATTCGGACACTCGGTCCAACTTCTCCCTAAAGGGCCGCGGTCGCGAACGACATCGATGAAGGCAAATATCAGCAAAGCGGAAAGTACATCCCCTTGCATTGAACGATAGCGAAGAGGCGATTTTGCGCGGCTGATGTCACTGCTAGCAGTGCGGCCCCATATCTACGGACTAATCGTGAAGCTGAACTTGAGATACCGCAAGTACCAGACCGAACTAAGGTGGCCCAGGCGGACTTTGGCCAAGCCTGGGTGTACAGAAACACTCGGTACCACTCTGTGCAGCCAGAATAATCGTGGGAGTTTCTATAACCCCGGAATGCCGGCCGGACGATACTCCACTTCCTGGACATTTTTTTTCTCAGGCAACAAAACATTTTACAGCTCCTTCTAATATTATCAGCCACAGGGCTGAAAATGCATCGGATATTCCATTTGCACGAAATCTCACGTCAGATGGGGCTTACAAGGCCACATCACCTAAAGGAATACAATTGCCGAGCAATGCAGCATTAGTGCTTCCTTGCTGTCGCTTACTCACACAGGTGACACGAAGATGGCTGCAAACGCTGTCCCCGCATCTTGGCTTCAGGATGAGTACGAAGGTTTCTGGAAGCTTGGCAGGTTGGCTTCTACGACCAGTGCTTTAAGATAGAGCTTTCACAAAGGACATCGCCTTAGTTCATTTCCAGGTCGCAATCTAGACTAAACTCAAAATCATCTCGTCAATCTCACAGCATGGAAATCCGTTGGCTTCTGTTAAACGATGATACGTGCATCCTAATTGTGATGTTTACAAGTGATACTGCATCATGGCGACTGTGTGCCCCGGATTTTGATATAAAATCGCCTACACGACGGTGTTTAAAGTCTTCCCGGGGCCTCGGGATTATTCACTCGTTGGGAGACGGGGCCTCGGGCTGAGACAGAGATCACACTCCGTGTCCGGATCCCCGAAAGCGAGCCCTTCCCCAACACGAGCGGGGAAGACCAGTGACTACCTACTGGCTACTGACAATATCTTGATGCCAAACACGAATAAAAAGCCACCCGAGGCTATCTTTGTCTCTGTTGTTCTTTAGCTCGGCTACCAAGTCCACTGGCGTTGTACTACCTGTAGGCCCTGTCACCAGATCGCCCACAAGGGTCCCAACAAGTCTCTGGGAACTGGTGCGGGGTAGCCGTAGACTGCCATTCCCCTGAACGTCGCGGATGAACTTGTAGCCCCATTGTGCCGAGTTTCCCTTTCATAGTGTCCCGTTGTCGAAGGATAGTGCAGTTGATGTGACCATTCTCCTCAGGCACTCTAGACAAAGTCGGATTTAGCGCCCGGCTATAGCACGCCGGCGTTTGTTGCCCTGATGAAGCGCATTAGTATCTACAAAGGATTCAACGCGAGGTCGCGGGCCTCGGCAGGAATCTGACCCCGGCATTCCATACGCTTTCGGCAGAGATAAGATCACATCTCGTTGACTCCAAGATCAACAAGAACTTCAAAATACGATTCGTTCAGTAGCACCCATATCGACCAACGAAATCGCACACAGTGGCCAAGCACGTCTCGGACAACTTTCATTTTTGGACAGAACATTTGCAACACATCAGTCAAAATGTCGTCAGAAAACCTACTTCCCAGGCCACCATACGACGCCCAACTGGTCCCGGCCCTGGATCGCATGACGGCTTACCCGCGAGATAGGGATGGCATAGTCCACGGGCGACAACTACGAGCGACCGCAATGGCACCTATGCAAGCAGCGATACGAAACGACGAAGACCTACTTGTAGAGGACCGTAAAATTGCTGGGCCAGACGGAGAGATCCCCATCGTCATCTTACAGTCCCGGAACCCAAAGACGGCAAGTGGCCAACGCCCAGGCATCGTGTTCTATCACGGCGGCGGCATGGTTCTCGGCGACGCCTTTCTCGGAATCCAGCCGTTCGCACGCATGGCAAAGGACTTTGACGCCGTCGTCGTCAGCATAGAATACCGCCTGGCACCAGAGCACCCGGCGCCCGCGCCGCAGGACGACTGCTACGCGGGTCTCCTCTGGACGAGTGAGCACGTGCAGGAGCTGGGCATCGACCCCGCGCGCCTCATGATCGCAGGCGTCTCGGCGGGCGGCGGTCTCGCGGCTGGAGCGGCATTGAGGGCGAGGGACACGAGCGGGCCGAAGCTTTGCGCGCAGCTGCTCGTATATCCTATGCTCGACGACAGGGACACGGGCATATCCAAGAAGCAATTCAGGGACGAAAAATGCTTTGACGCGCTGGAAAACAACGCTGCATGGGGCTGCGTGTTGGGAGAGAAGGCAGGGTTGGAGGAAGCGGACGTGAGTCCCTATGTCGCGCCGGGCAGGGCAACGGACCTCTCCGGACTGCCACCGGCGTATATCGACGTTGGAACTGCGGAGCCGTTCAGAGATGAGAACGTGGCTTATGCTACGAAGCTATGGGATAGCGGTGTGCAGGCGGACCTGCATGTCTGGAGTGGTGGATTCCACGGGTTCGACCTGTTGGGTCTCGCTGTAGGGTCAGACGTCGCCAAGGCTGCCCTCGAGACGAGAATGGGATGGGTCAGGAGACTATTTGGCGCGCAGTAGATGTTTGATACTATGTCAAGATCAGGTAGGGTCACCATAAATGGAGAATGGCATGAAGTCAGCATCCCCGTTGTTCGCCCATCGGCTGCCAAGCCTCTTGACTGCGTGTCGTCCCAAACTCGTGCTGCCTCCTGTCTGCAAACAGCTCAATCAGGGGAAACTCCTTATTCCATCCGGACCACCGGTTGACTTCAAGGAGGCAGAGAAGGAACACTCTCTACGAATGCTTGCTTCGCTGGTGAAACGGATAATAAGAGCCCGTTAACAAAATAACTGAAAGAGCTTGCAGAAACTCAGCCAGAACTTCACAATGAACTTGACTCAGCCACCTATCTGATGGCCACTGAAACAGTCTGACCTTTTCTCGAGTGCGGAAACTGTGCTGCAAGCGGTCAGATATCTCACCTAATTACCCCTTCATCGCCTAGCGGCTCGCCAAGGTGCTGCACGTCAACGTCAGATGAACAGATTCAGAGAAACGACATCTGCAGTGTCCCGAATAAAACAAAACATACGAGCGCAACCGCCGCCGGTCCACGTCAAACTCGCCTTAGTCACAGGCGGCGCGCGGCTGGCTGGCGAACAGATCCTCTCGGAAGCCCTCCCCCTCAAATCTGCCAGTGTGGTGGATGAACCTGACTCTGCCGTCTAAGCGCCAAACAAACGTAGCTAAGGTAGGTCAAAGAGTCACTGTCGACAGGTCTCCAGGCCACCACACGCCAAAGTCGGATGACGGAACCGAATTGACAAGAGCAGATATTCGAACAGTCAGGCAGAAAAATCTCCACAGGGAGGGGGCGGAAAAGGAGAAAACATGAGGCAGGAAAAGAGACAGGAAAATCTTACTTGCCCACACATTCACTTGCATCTAGGAAGATGCCGGCGAGCCCGTCAAGAGGTGTGTGCCTCCGTTTCAGGGGTTTGACATGGTAGACCATGATTGCGCGGCTGCCGTCAGTGCGGGGACGATGTCAGCGACGGGGAGAGAAAAAGATGAGAGAAAAGTTAGGGAAACACGATGCGCAGTCTGCAAGGGGAAGAGAAACGACGACCACTCCACTATACTGAGAAGAGGGGAGAAATGTAAGCCTTGACTAGGAAGACACTTCGAGACGCGTTCCGCGCCTTGGCCATCCGGGGCCACGGGCTCCCGTCATTAGTCCAGACGGCACAGCCCGTCTTGCGATCTGCGTCGATCACGGTGATCGATCCGTGTTCCTCGTTTGTGCCTGGCTTGGTAAGATTGGTGTTTGAGACGTACATATTCCGTGGGCGCGCCCGAACCCCGTGTCAACTTGGTGGAGAAACAGGTCAAGATTCTACCCCGAAACTCATGACCATGGTACCATTGAATCAACAAAAGTCGTGAAAACACATTTGTTGCCCGTCCACGGCACAAGTTCGTCTCGAACCACTCATGTTCTGCCCATGGACCAGTGCGTCCTGGAGATACTGTGAGATATTCCGATAATAGACCAGAACCGGAGCCTTCAAGGGCGACCTCAGGCGTCAGACTCAAGGCCCGAGGTTTAGTAAGCAAAAAATTGGCAAAGTAGGCCGAAGTGACTAGATCGACATGGTATGGCGGCGCCTGAATACCTGCTTGGCATCAGAAAGCCAATGAGTTTCAGTCCGGTGCCGTTACTTACACAACAGCATTCGCTATCGGTCCAAAGCATTGGAGTCGGAGATTCATTGGAACATCTCGATGTCGTTCGTTCACGCCTGGCGAACATTCGACTTGAAATCAGATGCCCTTTGACAGTTTTGATTTCAGCTCGTTCCCTTTCTTCATCCACGAGTGCGAGCTCCGCGTTGCGATAACGAGTCGAACTCTCATGCTGCATACAGAAAGAAAGATTCTTTGACATCCAAGTGGATGGGAAATGATTTCCACAAGATAGACGGGGTTTAGAATATTCCGCGTAGATATGATTGGCTGTAACAGCCCGGTTGAGGATGTATCTGGCGGCCGACTACGACGGGGAGTCGGCATCGTCGCCGAGGACATACCGGACCAAGACATAGACGTCTCAAGAAGTGGAGACCCATTGTGTCGATATGCGAGGCGTTAAAGGTAAAATTTAGAATGCTGCCATCCTTTTCCTCCCGAATGATGACTGCCAGGGGGACCAAGGTTCTGGGCCGGGGTCCGAAGGGAGGGGACCGGAGCAAGTCATAGTTGCTGGCACGAACGAAACTTTGAACGAATCGTTCGAGTCTGCGTCGTAAGTTCAATGATGAGCAGTTTTGTTTTTTCGGGGGCTAAATGGGAACCAGTAGGCATAGTGTAATTGTCCAAGAAATACATGACAATTTGTGTTCATGGTGGTCCCAAGTGGCCCTCATCGATGACCTTAGACCCAATCCGCTACTATGAGATCTACTAGCCAAGCAAGATATACCATTTCGGGACAATTGGGCATCTCGAAGAATTGGAATCGTTTTTCCCATGGTTTTATCAGATCCCATCATCAATCCCACCGGCTCGGCGACATGGACAAAATTACCCAGGCAATCTGGATTCCGAAGGGAAGGGAGAATGCTTCGCCGGCAGTGAACTGAGCTAGTCTCTGTACTACCCCAACATCTAGATCAACTCGATTCTTTGGGTGCCGTTAGCGCGGAAGAGTGCCGGTCTGATAAGCAACCCTGCGTTCCAGAGGTCTGGATCCGGACAGGGGGAGGCCACAAGTAGGGTAACTTCCTTGACTGTTGATGATTACTGATTTCAAAATTCCTCGCACAGAAATGCGCTCAATATCCAGCCAGCCAGCTTTCGCAGTGGCTGGCGTGGTCACCGATGGGAACCACATCGCGTCTCGAAGTCTAGATCGACCATTCCATCGGGGACGACGTCTCCCCTCGAGCTCACCACAAAGAAGAGTGCAATCACTTGCTCGGCAAGCTGTAGTAGCAAGAAAGACTAGTCCACATAGCGTAGCTCGTAAGTCAGCTTTAGCTAGCGTACCGAGTGAAGAATCAAAAATGGTTCACGCTTCTTGGGGCCCGTCGTGCCTGTCACCTCTTCATGATTGGTGTGGAACGTATCGTCTACGCGAACATGGCCGCATCCGGCGATTCTTACGCCACCGCCGCCTCCAACTCTCGCCAAGCTAGATGCGGCTGGATGCTATGTAGGCTTTCCGTAGATCGTAAACTCTTTATCGTCGTTACTGCTGTCGAAGCACCACAGTACCTCAGCAAGACTCAAGCCTCTCCGAGTCGGCGAATCCAGTCGGCCGGGGCGCACCAGTGAGCTGCGGCGAGCCACAAACTAAGTCTAGCTCTTGGAGTCTTCGCGAACACTTCGCTCTTCAGGTTCGAAGACATTGAACCATAGAACTATCCGGCCCTGCTTGTTCTCTCGATAGCCAGCCACGCGGAGAGGCTTGTCAATTCTCAAACCGCGCCATTGTAGCCCTCGAACTGTCAGATATCAGCCCACCGGCTTTGTTGAAGACACTTGGAGCCAGTTCGTAGCGGGCGGGCGCTGGAATACCTTCAAAGTCCGCGTCACACATTATTCCCGTTCGGACTTTGTTTGAGGTTTTTGGGTGTCGTTAGTGAGTTCGTTGGGAAGCCCATATCGTTGTGGCATATCCCATATCAATCTTGTCGTGGGAGTACATCCAGATCTTTGCACATCACCCATGTCCTTGGCACGATCACTTCTGAATCAGATTTACGGCATCGAAATTGGTTTGGGAAAGAACAATGCCATAGACCGTTGAGAGATCGTCACCAAGAAGTTTCACCTGGGATCGTCGGCGCAATTACATCTTTGGCGACTACCTAGGGCATAGTGAAGGCAGTCATACATCACGATGGTATCCGGTAACGAGAGCTTCGGCGCCAGTCTCGAGCGTCAGAGTTGGATACACTACTCAATAGGGATGGCCTTCATCTTCCTCAGAATGTTCGTTCAATAGGCCCCTGTCAGCGGTCGGAAAGGAGTCCAGCTAACATATTTCCTTGATAGGTATGGAAGAGCAAAGAGGTTAGGTGGTGTCTCCAACTTTGAAGCCGACGACTATCTCCAGATTCTCGCAGCAGTATGTTCGACCGCGTGGAGTATCCTCTCAAGAAACTGAACAACCGGAAACTGACTCCTTATCGCGTGTTAGGTGCTCTTCACCGTCCTTGTAGCCCTCCTCAACATTATCACCGACGGAGGCGGCTCGAACCTCTACCCTCCAGAACTAGAAGGAACCTTCACCCAAGCCGAGATCGAAGACCGCATCCACGGCTCCAAGATTGTCCTCGTCTCGGAGCAGGCGATGTTGAACCTCATCTATGTCCTCAAAGCCTGCGTACTGATCCTCTACACCCGCCTCACCCTCAACCTCGCCGCTCAGCGCCTCGTGCGTTGGCTAGCAATGTACGTCGCTCTTGGATGGACCGCGACGCAGATAACAATGTTCGCCGCCTGCCGTCCCTTCAGCGGCTACTGGGCTATGCCGCCACCCGACCCGCAATGCACGACGTATGAGAACTACGCCATCCTCCAGGGCTGGTTCAACATCTCTTCCGACGTGCTGATGCTAATGATTCCCCTTCCGCTCGTCTTTCGTATGAAGGTGCCCTGGAAGCAAAAGGTCGTTCTCTTGTTCGTCTTCAGCCTTGGCATCTGCGTCATCGTCGCGGCGCTGCTGACCAAGATCTTCAACCTGACCGACCCGTACAGCCCTACATACATGCTGTGGTACATCCGTGAAGCGAGCGTGGCCGTCTACGTATCGAACCTGCCGCTTGTTTGGCCGCTGCTGAGGGAGTGGTTCCCATTTCTGCGGAACCTCAAGACTGCGGGCGTGCTTCCGACACCGTCTAATCAGGCAACGGGGCACCGGACGAAGCAGGATGCGAACATGTCGTCGGGTGTCACCGTTCACAGCACACACCGGGGGCCTGCGCCTGCGGGGGTGCCGAACTCGAGGAGGCATACCTTTGAGGAGTTTGGGAGCTGGCTCAGCGCTAGTGACCTCGAGCTCCAGAAGCCGGCGCGCGTTTTGAGGTCGACCGCAAGTAGGCGGCACATTTTGGAGGAGCACAATGACGACGAACCTGAGAGCTCAGCTATCGGGGAAGAGAAGAGCGTGAAGAGGGTGTCTTTGGTGGCAGAGTATAGCGTTGGTGACGGGGAGAGTAGCATGGGATTAAGTCCAGCGCCCCAGCTTTCGCCTTTGGAGACCGATCACGGCATGATCGATTGGGAATATCAGCGTCAGAGTCGGTTCATGCGTAGGTCAGGAGCGACAAACTCTACCGTGGGACATGGTCTGCTTGCTTCGGAGGAGCGAGACCGGAGTCAGGGCGCAGCGAGTTGACCAAGTGAGAACTGACGTTAGGCAGTCTCTCTGCGGGATAGGCAATGGTTCGGGGTTGGCTTACTGGCGTCTATGTTGGGTTCATAGTTTGGGGATACCCTGGGACTGCTTTCACGGCGTTACATTGTAGTTATCGACATGCTAGGAGGGCCGGCACTCAGTCTGGCCGAGCATCTGTGCTCAATGATACCGATTATTCTCGATGATTTACCATGACCCAGATCGTTGTGCAGTCGTTGGTGTCGCAATTGGGGATGATCAATCGACGGAACTATGTCCGCCGATTCGCTGCGCTGTGCCAGGGAGTCATGAAGTCTGTAAGAAGTATTCGTATTCGCGTGCCTCAAAGGGCAATGGTATCTATGAAAGGCATGAAGAACAAAACAACAGGGGTATCGAAGCAATTCCAAACATCGCGCAACATCTTTCCGTCTTCGGCTCGTAGTCGTACTATTCGCATGTCTCGTCAAGTTCCCGGCCGGCGGGATGTTCCTTATGCAGTACTCCCATCTAACTTGCGGTTCAGGCATTCGTCCAGACCTGCTCAGTCCAACCAACTCCAAGTGCCAGTGACCCTGCCTTCGTCCTTATTGGCCAATTTGTTGAAAACCGCGGGGCTTAAATCGAGATCGGTCGGCGCGCAGCCGGTACATCGATCCACAACGGTGACATCCACCGATCCCTCGCCATCACGCCGGACGCGGATCTTCTTGCCGCATAGCGGGTTATTGTTCGGATTGCCGCCGCTCTGCACGTCGTCCCACAGATAGTGCGAAACCGAGACAATCATGTCGCTATCACTGCTCGTCTTTCCGCAGGCGCCGAGCCCGGGAGCATAGTACGTGAGGTCACCGGTGTGAACGTCTTGGTTGTTCGGAAGCGGTAAATCTTGCTTTCCTCCGCCACGCTTAGAGAGACCGAGGCCGAGGGCTAGAGGGAGGATGAGCAGGAGCAAGACCGCTAGGGGCAAGACAACGAAGAGAAGGAATCGTTTTCGAGAAAGGCCAAAGTAGGTCTTTTGTGGCGGGAGCAGAGCATCGAAGCGAGCTGCTAGGGAGGGATGGGCCTTGGGTGCTGTCGTTGCGCCTGTAGCGGCCGCCGCGCCGGTGGTAGGAGCGGTCAGATGGGCGTGATCATCTGAGCGTTGGGTATCCTCTTTCGCGAAGCCACCTTCGTTCGTCGCCGTGGGAGCAGCAGTGGTGCTATTGTCGCGTTGGTGGCCAGTCGTCGCTGGAGCGAAGCGATCAAAGAACGAGCGACGCTTGTTGGCCGTGGGGGTCTCCCAGTCGGGGGTCTGGTAGGTTTGCGCCGGGCGCTGGATGCCTTGTTCCTCGTCGGTCATTGTAAGGGTGAGCGACTGTCGCGAGATGTTTCAATGCCGCAGGAGCTGTTGTGTGGTGCTGTTGAGTCGTCAAAGACGGATCGAGGGCATTGTTCGTGATCAAAGACGCTGATTTGTGGTGTTTTGGCAGGTTATAGGAACAGGTGAAGCTGTCTCGTATGCGCGATGTGAGCGATAGGTAACAATGGCAGGGAAGAACAAGGAAGAGAGGATGACGCTGGTAGTGGCAGTGATACTTTCGCCAGCCTGCAAGGTCGCCAGCCTGTCAGGTCCTCGGGAAACCCTGATGACGAGGAAAGCCGGCGAACGGCAACTGGTTGGCGATGGCGATGATCTCCGTCCTTGCCGCCCGCCAGGATGGGAAACTTGATTTCGCCATGATTGTGGCTGGTGGGAACGAGGGGCACGTTGCAATGCAGGGGTCGTCAAGGTGCACCTTAACGTGCTTTAGGCCGAGGTGGCTGGACCCTTCTAGCCGTACTGGGTATAGCCCCTGGTACGTACTGATGTGGACCTGCAGAAGCGTGGCTGGTGGGGCAAACCCTCCTTCCCTGATTTTGGGAACCGCCACCCACTCTCACCACCGCTTCAACTCAAGCTCATCAATCATTGAGTGCCTTATGAAACTCATGAGACTACTAGCAGCCGAGAGTTCGACTTCGTGGGTCCAATAAGTCGAGCTAGCTGACCAGTATACACTCATTCATTCCCATCCGATGCTTGAGAAAACTTCACCTGGCCCGACTGCCTGCATGCAGTGCCCCGCAAGAACCGTTTCCTTGTCCTAGTTGAAGCAACTGAAAAGTGCTTCTTCTTTCATTTATGGAAATCTTCAGTCTGAAGTCTCAGGTCATCTTCTCTCAGTCGAACATGTTGATCGATCGTTGCGGAATGCTGTCTCTCTCATGTAATGCCGCTCTTGAGACACAGTCCATGCACCTCCCTGGTCATCTCAAGGAGTGTCGAAATAACTAAGAGAGACGGAATTAATATACGCTGAAGAGTAAACTCTTGCTCTCATTTATCGCTTTTCAACTCACAGTCTTACTCTCACTTCGCTCGGCCTCCCCTGCAAAATTGTCTTCCGGCTCCAAGGAGCTGTGTCTTGCATTCAGCTCTCACATGAACCATCACCAGGGGTATTATCGTGATCGAACAACGGTTTCCTTCTCTCATCAATAAGTCCTTGGAACCTCAAAGCTCGACTGTACGCAGAGAGAGATAATAGTTGCACTATCCAACAAGCGATGGTCTTTCTGATGGTGATGTTGGATGCCTAGCGTTCATCTCACTCATCCTCTTCAAGATTTCTTATATCAAGTCACCTTAATTGCCCATGCGACATCGTCCAATTTGTACATTCCCTATGATAATCCAAGAAACTTCCAATACTCCATCAAGATTCATTCACCGGCCCAGTTGCAATCATTTCTCTAATCACATAGTTGCAAACCATCATGTTCTTCAGCTGCCGCGCCAAACAGCCCACGCCTCCGCCGCCCCGGCCGCACTGCGTCTACTCTGGCTGCGTTCATAAGGTCTTGAAATGCGAGGCACCGGCCAAAGCTAAGCGCATTCTCTCCATCTTTTGCAAAGATCGTGGGTTCAGTCCCCGCAGCCTGCTGAAGAGCCCAGTCTAACGTCATCTCGAGATGCCTGCCGGTCGCGTACTGGTGAGAAGATGTGTACAAACCCCAAACAGCCTGGTTTATCCAAGTACTGCGAAGATCGTACGTTGCATTGCCTTGACCCAATCGTCTCTTCGACTGTCTGTATGTGGTACTGATCATGTTCATCTGGGAGAAGACGGCCGCTGCCACTGCCAGGGCTGTACCAACCAGCGCATCTTCGCCGACGCAAACCAGGACTGGCCATATTGCCAAAGCCGTACGTTTCTTGTGACTTCCTGATCCTTCATGTCGCATTACCCATCGACCCTGATTCTGATTCAACCGCTTCTCTGGCAATGCAGATACTTGCGCAACCTACGGATGCCACAATAAGCGGGCCACCAACTCCCAGATGTGCAGCTTCCACACGCCTATTTGCCTTATCCCCGCCTGCGGTCACCCGCGCGTCGGCGACGGCCTCTACTGCCCGAGTCACAGCTGCACCGACAAGGACTGCAACAGCGTAATCGACGGCGGCAACTGGTGCAGAGATCACCGGCTCTGCAAGACCGCGGAGTGTGACTCGCTGAGAGTCGTCTCGCCCGGTGGAACACACGAGGAAGTTTGCTGGTTCCGTGAGTCTTCATCCACCGGGCCCTAAGTCTAGTCATTGCATTCAAAGGACGGGGAAACTTACGTGGCAAACGCCTCAGATTTACCGACAGCTTGCAACGCGACGGCCTGCGGAGCCCTCGTCAGCGGCGGCGTCCACTTCTGCCCCCAGCACGAGTGTACATATCCGCCATGTCGAGAGCGCAAAGACAACGCAACAGATGCATCAAGACTCTACTGTGCCAGTCGTAAGAGGACATACTCAGACCTACCCTCTTTCACGCAAAAGCTCGCTAACAAAAACCTCTCTCGCTCGCTCACCAGACACCTGCCACGCCCAAACCTGCCCCCAACCAGCAGCAGACCTCGCGAACCCCTCGAAACCGCCACACCAACCGAGCTTCTGCGTAGCGCACAAGTGCGCAGCAAGTCCAGAGTGCCCACACCCTTCCAAACCGTCTAGCCGCCGCTGCGCACTCCACGCCTGCCTGCACCCGTCCTGCCCAGCTCCGCGCGCCGACGATCCGCTCCTCGTCTCCGCAAGCCAGTTCTGTATGAGCCACGAATGCCGGGCTGCCGGATGTCATTGCGCCGCGAGATCAAATGGGAGTTTTTGCGACGCGGTCCACGCCTGCGTCGTTCCCGGGTGCCCTTCCCCGCGCGGAGTTGGAACCGGTGGCCCCGGATCGGTATGCTGCGCCTTACACACGGCCATGATTGCCCGCGACACCGCGGGCTGGAGCACGGCTACCGAGCGCAAGAGCATGCCCACGCCGCCTTCCTCTCCGCTACCGCAGAGACAGAAGCAGAAATTCCCGTATCTCAGTCAGACGGAGGAGGCGCTGGGAATGCGGTTCAGGGAGGAGAGAGAGAGGCATGATCAGGAGGCTAGACTTGCGGAGGAGACGAGGGCTTGGCATGCTGTTACCACGGCTTCTGCTGCTCGCGGCGGAAACGGTGATATCGAGGTTGTTGGGGGTGTGCCGTTGCCAGGAGGGCTCGAGACGAGGGGCAAGAGGCACAAGGCCAGGAGAAGGGGGAGTTATGATAGTGGGGTCGCGCCTAGTCCGACTGTGAGTGAGGGAACTTCACCGAGTGACTTTACGTTTGTGAGTTGAGGATCGTGTGGAATACGAGATGAATAAGGCCTAGATGATCCAGGACAGTAAACGATAGAGCAAGAAGGGAGGGAGGGAGAGAGAGAGGCAAAGAGAGAGTGAGAGTATTGGGTGACAATCATAGAGACTCGGCATAGACAGTGCTGGACGGTCATCTGCTTCGATCAGCACTTGGGAAACAGTCTTATCCACAAATAATTTTCTAAATTTTCTTTAATCTAAGGAACGTATGGCACTAATACTGCTTTGAACGAGCGGACGGCTTCATAGACGAAACCAAACGTAAAGCAAATAACGAAGCACTCTGACCGACAACTCTTTCAAGCGGCAGTCTTTCAAAGAACGAGATACACCAGTTTTCAAGATCCATACAAACAGATGACAGAGGTTGTTGTACATAAACACAAACCCAGCTATTGAATGGAAACTTGGTATCGAGGCAACGAGGTAAGGGGTCGGCTCGCACCATCCACTTACGCAGCGTCGCCGTCTAAATTCTGAATCAGACACCTCACCGCGTCTTTCCAGGTGCAAGAGGGTCACAGACGAGCCAACAGAAGACCACCAGGCAGGAACCCGGCATCACCATCGATCCAGACTGCCCCCCCCCCCCCCCCCCCCCCCCCCCCCCCCCCCCCCCCCCCCCCCCCCCCCCCCCCCCCCCCACCCCCACCCCCCCCCCCCCCCCACCCACCCCCCCCCCCCCCCCCCGCCCCCCCCCCCCCCCCCCCCCCCTTAGCCTCGGGGGATCCACCTAGGCCCACGCCCCGACAAGACTCATGCCAAAGGCGCCAAAGAAGACGAGTACGCAAGCCCAGACGCGCTTCGAGCCCCTCAGGACACGCCAGCTCTCGTCGGACAGGAAATCCTCAGCCAGAAGCTCAATCAGTGCGGCAAAGACGAGCAACCCAGACGAGATGGCATTCATGGTGCCGACGAGGATGAGGCCAAACTCCGAGTCCGGGCTGTAAAGGCGGTGAGTCGCGAGACCGATGGCCTGGCCGATGGGCGTGGTGCAGCCGTAGGCAAGAGCCATCATCCAGGGCTGGAGGCTGCCCTGGGGCCAGTCAATGTTCGCAATGCGGGAGCCGAGGGCGAGACCTTCAAAGGTCTGGTGGAAGGCGATTGCGATGAGGAGGATGACGAACTCGTGGCCAACGGAGACGGAGAGGGTCATGCCGATGAAGACGGAGTGGAAGAGGATACCGACTTCGAGCATCATGCACTGGAGGATGTCTTTTTGGTGCTGCTGTGCGGGGGTCAGGACGATGCCACCGTTGGAGTTGACTTGCACGGCGCGGTTCTCCTCGTCAACGATGACGCGCTTCTCAACGCGCTGCTGTTGCTGCCCCTGATCGGTTTCATCGCCAGCCTCGGGTTGGTTTGGGGCGAGTACGGCATCATCGGGTCGGCAGCTCATCTGGCGGGCAGGGGAGAAGACCATCTCGATGATGGTGACGAGGAAGATGCCGGCCAGGGCGATGGCGCCCGGCATGGCGGGGTAATCCTCGACCCAGAAGGAGCTCAAGCATGGGTTGCCGAGAAGTGTGAAGGCCGTCGGAAGGAGGTGAACGAAGGCGGTGGCGAGGAGGACGCCGGTACCGAAGTGGCGGACAGCGAAGAAGAAGGGGCGGGGGATTCGGATGGCGGGAATACTCTTGGCGATGAGCGGGAAGGCGCAGGCGAGGAAGGAGGTTGCGAGGATGATGAAGAGGGCGCCGACGTGGAGGGGCGTGTTGTAGGCATCTTCGTCGCCGAGGCCGCCGGTCGGGCAGGTTGAGCGAGCAGTAATGCGGTCGTGGTCGTGGGTGTGGGCGTGGCGCTTGGTGATGGCTTGGGATATTGTCAGCTTACATTGTATTGAGGCATTGGTGGTGAATAAGAAGGAGTAAGGGGAGTCTAAGTGAGATGAGGCGCAATGGGATGAGATGAGATGGAATGAGATTCGTATCTTGATACATGTGCGCAATGGGTTGATGAGGCCCCGTCTTTCGAGAGACTGTGATGAAGAAAGATCAACCTACAATGAGTAGTTTCTTTGGTCGCGACAAGGAAAGACGCGACAGCCTCGGGGCTCTTGAGGGCAGAGATGATGGCTGAGCAGCCAATGACGGACATGATCCAGCTCACCCAGCCCCAGAGGGCGGAGCGGGCGGGCGCAGAGGCCCAAAGGAGAGGTGTATGGTCATCACCACCATGCACCTTTTTGTTTCGGGGATGGAAACCTGGGGAGAATTAGTATGCGTTTAAGAATGTTGTGTGTCGTTAAATGTCGTTGAAGATGCCGGCCGATGCAGCATGCACACCGAGAGTGGTGAGTGAGGTGAGTGAGGTGAGTAATGGGAGAGAGGAAACGCTGATGTCGTTGGTCCCAGTCTCCGCATCATCGCACTCGTAACACCCCCCAACGTCGTTGAACAATAATGTTCAGGATTTCTTCATAGGAACTCAAGACTCACCGTGTTTCCACCCTCCCGAAACGCGTAGCCTCCGATCGGGCTGCAGACGTGGCAACGTCTGGTAATTCATGTCGTCACCCCGGCCGTCGGATCCATCGCCGGCGCCGCCCCGGGCCCTGCGTTGCTCGCGGGCGTTGGCAATGCCGTTCAGATCCTCACAGGTGGTGAGGTCGGCAGACAAGAAGGGCGGGTTCTGGTTCCAGTCTGGATGCTCCAGCGTGATGTCGTCGTTGCGCGAAGGGCAGTTCATCGTGGGCGAGAACGACCTTTTGCTGTGGTTGTCTTTCTACGGGGGGAACTGGAGTCCTTTCGTTGGGTCGATTGGAACTTGTCTTCGTTACTGTCTACTTGCTGTCGGTCTCGATTTGGTATGATTTGATGTGGTGTCTAGTTTGATTGGAATCGTAAGAGGATGGAGTTATGAGAATAAGGAGATGGAGATGGAATCACACGAGTCAATCTTTCGAGGTCACTGGGGATCAAGGTACCTTAGTACCTCGAGGTCGTCAATTTGGGTACCTTGAGGTAATGGTGGGGGCTCGCTGTGGTGTCAAGTACTTCCACACCCAACTACATATGAGTAGTGACATCCAGTCGCTGTTCTCTTCGCAACCTTGAGGGAGCCGGGTGCAGCAGGGCCCCAAGCCTCAGGGGGGAAGGGGAAGAGGAACCTTGAAAGACCTGGCCCGACTGGCTGTCCCTAACTGTGCCGTCTTCGGGATCTAGAAATTTTTAGGGCAGCGGGGCGGGAACTTGCTTCGGCCAAATGCGGAAGCGAGTCACACAGCCAGTCTCAGCCTCAGCATCACTCATTCTGTAATCCCTAAGTACCTACTTACATCAAGGCCATTAATGAAAATGAAGGCCGTGTTTGAACGTGGCTGCCGGGGCCGAGGAGGGGCTCCTGGGCGGACGGAGGACTGTGCCGGTGGGACTTTGCACTTCATGCTCGTAGTGTAAGGTAATACTGCGTAAACCGTAAACCCAATCTTCGTACCGCGAAACTCGGACACCGATGTTGACTGGAGACTCTCGGAAGACGGCAATAGGTCAGATACTTCGGATGTTTAACTTGAACACTGCTCAGGCTTGCTGTAGTCTGTTCATCATGACTCTCATCCCCTCCTCTCAGTCATTCACTCAAGGTGACCTGTGGTGGGCTTGGCTGACGATGGTGACCTCGTTGCGTATCACCGCTAGCAACCCAAAGTCCAATCATTAACACCCTCTCCGTAACCTCTTCGCGCCGAGGATAAACAAGTCATCACCACTACAGGCAATGCATATATCCCCCCTTTCCCCCCAAATCTCAAACCGTTTGCCCGCATCACTTAGACCCCGCGAAAAGAACGTCACTGCATATAGAGTACCCGGTTCTTCCCATAGTCGCATTGCCTACCACCCAGTGATGGGCGTTCCCGCTTACCCCATGGGGCTGAATGCTCCCGCTCTATTCCGAAGCTCAGGCCGCAGGACTAGAGATAGCCGACAGCGACAGATAGCGGATAAGTCAGATCCAACTCCTTCTCCTCCGTGGCTGCGGTCGGCCGCTGCTTCGAGTGTGCTCGATTTCGTGTCTTGACTTTGACTGCAATCTCTGCTTCTCTCGCTGTGACGAGGCCAGGTGTCATGCCCTGAAAGGTGCCCAGGCCTCAGACCGCCCGGTGCGAGGTTAGAGACGCGTCAGTTGACTTGGCCCTGGCTTCTTGGCTGCACCTTGGCCACTGGTCACCGTTTCTACAACGTAGTGTAATTTCAGCCCTTGAGTCTTGGCCTTGGGCTACAGCCAACAGGTCACACAACTGTGTCCGGTGCCGGAGTGGCTTCGAGTGACTCAAAACTCATCCGAGTAGAGGGCAATCGGACCCGGAGATGGAGCAGAACCAGCAAGTTGACCCGGGTCAATTGCGTGTCGCCGCGAGTCTTCGGATCCGAGAGCCGTCTTGTCATGGGGCCATGTGCTTGCCCGTGACCGAATGCTCGGAGACCGGCGCCGGTTCCATGTTAACTGCAATGATGTCTCGCCTTTTTTCGGCTACCATACAGATAGCTGCAATTTTTTTCGTCAAGGAAGGAGGCATAAGGTGCCAAAGACATGAGGATCAAGTTGGGCTGGAAATGACACTCTTCTTGATCGTGCAGTTGGGCGAAGGAATGCTTAGACACACAGCACTGGATGATCTCGAAATCAGGAAAGATCGCAGCGAAAACCAGATCTGGGCCGCTGGGTTCTCAGATCAGGTACGTACTGAGAGTACGCCACTCCTCATCAAGGTTAGCCTGGTCCCAAAAAGAAGATTACATAAGAGCTCTGTGCTCCCTCAAAGGTTAATCAATCAGTGACATTCCGTTAGTCATGTCCTTCCGATCACATGAGTGTGAGCCAAAGCGGCAGGGAGACCGTGATAACCTTGGTAAACTGAGCTGAGGAAGATTAACAAGAAGCGGGATGAAATTGCAAACCTTACGGGCTATCTCGAGCGGTTCATTTGCACATTATTCAAGTCATTGGAAGCTAGGTTATATAGGGTGTTCCGTTGA